CTATGAGTCTTTTATTTGTTTTTATTTATTTTTTAAAAAATATGTTTTTACTGTTTTTTTTTTAGAGTGAGAGGAAGGGAGAACAAGAGAAACATTGATGTAAGAGATGCATGGATCGGCTGCCTCCTGCACGCCCCCTACTGGGGATTAGGCCTGCAAGCCAGGCATGTGCTCTGATCTGGAATCCAACCAGGACCTCTCAGTCCATTCTTCTCTAATTTTAAATGAAAAAACAGATGGGTTTATTTGCTTAACTTTTCAGTAATCTAATATCTGGTAGTTAACATCAGTTTCACCCAGAACTGAGTTAGTGAAATGATAAAGCACTGATTTCCCAGGTTCTTTATTAATAATTTTAAAGCACTGCTGGGGTTATACAGTTTTATTGTCAGAGAATAAATATCCAGAAACATGAAATAGTTTTTATTCTACTTTTAATCTACTTATTTTATTTATTAAATAAGAATGTATGGAAAGCACTTACAATAGTGCCTGCCATTCATGTATTGTTATTATTATCCTTATATTGTTCTCTTTCGTGTGGGGATTTTCATCATTTGTGCTTACCTGAAAAGTCTTATGCTCTTATATCTGCATTTGGCTAAGGCAAACATGATTAACACGTTTCCTCTTTAGTCAAAGGAAAGAACTCATCAGTTCTCATCAGTTAAACCTTCTGTGACTGAAAAGCTTGGTGAGAGCTAATTTTAAGTTGAAAGCAATTTAAACAACTCTGTTAGTTTAAAAACAAATGTCTTCAATGTTTTATACTCAAGAATGGCAAAATTAGCCCTGGCCAGTCTGGCTCAGGGGTTGGAGTGTTGGCCCACGGACCAGAGAGACCTGGGTTTGGTTCCGCTAAGGGCATGTTCCTCGGTTGCCATTTGTTCCCGCCCCGGTTGGGGTCATGTGGGTGGCAGCCAGTCAATGTGTCTCTCTCACATTGATGTTTCTCTCTCTCTTCCTTTCTCTCTCCCTCCCGCTCTATCTATGTCCTCGGGTGAGGATTAAAAAAAAAAGAATGGCAAAATTAACACTACTTACTTGAATAAAGTAATCATTCCCTCCAGAAATTGGTATTAAATCATCCTTTCCACAGTTAGTGTTTCAACATTAAATGAGAAAGTTAACAGCCAGGCTAGCTTCAATTCAACTGACAGGGAAATGTGGGTAGTCTGGCATGTAGTTGGACATGTGACTGTCTTCCAAGGCTGTTCCTGCCACACTGACTCCCTTTCCAACCATTCGCATATAGTCCCTGCTCAAGTACTTTGTCAGTCCTCAAGTTTCTCCTGTCAATCATTAAATTAATGAGGTTTTTAAATCACTTCTCTGAAAGACCTACCAACACCATTAGAATTTTTCACGTATTTAAACATGTTATTTAGACAATTCACTAATGTGTTCATTTTAACATACTTCAATTCAACATTAGTCCTCACGGTTTTAATAAGTAATTTTAAAAAATCTCTACTTAGTTTAATTTAATCACTAAATTAAAAATGAATTTACTAGTACATCACTTTCTGAAGGGTGGCTTGGGGCAAGGGTAAATTACAAGAAAGAAAATAACAGGGGCACTTCGGTGTACCCCAGCTCTGAGAAGGACCTCGTCATATCGGCAACACCAGATAAGACGGTCTGAAGAGCATGCCATGCACTGGCTTTATAAGCACAGAAGTTGGTTACAAGTAATTTTTCTATATAAATCCAAATTACATCTTTCAAGAATGTTACTTATTGTCCATGGAAGGAACATGGAATCAAAGCAGTTTAGAGCTAGAAGAACCTCAGAAGTGGTCTACTTTATTCTCCTCATTCTACAGATTGGGAAATGGAACCCAGAGAGGGTGTGGTGACCTTCGAAGGCCACACAGCTCGCAGATCTGAGGCTGCCGGCATGCCTTCCCCTCCCCGGGACCGCCGGATCACACACCAGGCCGGCTGTTCCGATCACAACAGCTGCCTTTTGAGTCATATCTCCACCACACTTGAAAACATGTTTGAAAACAAGTTTTAGTGTATATTTTAAGCTTTCAACTTTCTTCCAGTTCAGAGTGATTAAAATTGTTAAATCTTAGTGATATGCTAATAACAGTCCAGTTACTTCATCGTATAAATTGGAATTACTAGTTTAAAGCAAATTCAGATATTCTCTTTCCTCTTGTTTAGTAAACAAACCCTCATAGCCTTATAATTATGGTATTTTATTAGTCTATATTACTGACATAAATTACATCTGTTGAAATGTTTTCTGCGTTTGCAGAAATAATAATTTCTTTTTTTTAATCCTCACCCAAGGACATTTTTCCATTTTTTGTTCAGACAGAGTGGGAGGGAGAGAGAGAGGAGAGAAACATCGACGTGAAAGGGACACATCGAGTAGCTACCACCCACATGACCAAACAGGGTCAGGGACAAACTGCAACCGAGGTATGTGCCCTTAGTGACAACTGAACCCAGGTCTCTCTGGATCTCAGGCCGATGCTCTAACTGCTGAGCCAAACTGGCCAGGGCAGAAATAACAATTTCTATAATATGCATATAATTTAACTTTTCTTATTTAACTCTATTTTTATTAATATATAACTAGAAATCTCTTCTATGTTCTGGGATAAAAGATTCATTTTAAAGCTAATGGGAAATCAAGTCTCATGAATAAATAAGCAATAATTCATGAAGATAATGAATGAAAACATTAAGTGTTTTTTATATTTAGTATCATTAGTTTGTTAATAGCAAATTTAAAGCAAACTACTAATTCTTCAATTAAATTAAAGAAACTGTAAGAGTGAAAAAATTGTTGATATCATAACTTCAAAGATACAGAGATTTTAAAAAGTAAGCAGTAGAATACTAACCTAGAAATCATGATGAGGAATTTTCCACCACTGCAAGAATGAAAATTAAGATTGAATGTTATCACTATTTTATTAAAATTGCCAAAACATACTGTTTTTTAGAGACACATGTGTGCTGTGTACAGTCACATGTATTGGATATTTCCCCCTCTTCAATTAAGGAAACATTAATCAAACACCTATATGTCTGTGGCACTGAGGATACCAAAATAATTAAGATGTGGCTCTTACCCTCAGGATGTTCATTCACAGTCTATGGGAGAAGCAGGTTTGTAAAAAAACTAATCAAAATATAATTTGGCAAGTGCTACATAGTGTTGGTGTGGCCATGATCCACTGGAGGGGTGGGAGGAGGAGACTGGACAATAATCAAGATGAACCCGGGGTTTCTGTACAGGGTCAAATGCTTCTCAAAGGCCTTTACACTGTTTAGAATGTTCTCATAATATTTTAGTGCATTACACAATCAATGTGTTTACTAATGTATCATATGCAATACTGAAATAAAATCCTAAAAAATGTATATCCTTTTTAATCTCTGTTAGGTGCATGTCAAGTAATTGTAACATCTGAAAGACTATCGGTTAAATTCTCTACATGAGTGAGGTTTTATAAATGGCTGTGATAAATACAGAGAATTAATTTTAAGTTTCAGATGTTAAAAAAATGAACACCAATATTTTAATAATGATATATGGTGTGAAATGGGTGACAAGATTTATTGCAGTGATCACTTCATAGGTTAAATAAATGTGTAATCACTGGATTGTACACCTAAAATTAATGTAATATTGTACATCAACTCTAATTGAAAAATAAAAAAAGTATTTAAAAAAGAAATGAACACCACTGAAAATGTAAGTATTATTCAAAGAAATTGGGTCAAAACTCTGGTTGGCAAACCGTGAACTGTTTCACATGCCCTGACCTGAGGCAGCTCCGAGCTGGTTAACCTGTGCTGGTTAACCTACACGGCTCTGTCTAGCAGTTACAGCAGTGGAGCTTCTGTGAATTACTTCACAGGAAATTCTGGGTTCCCCTTATTAGATGCTCATCTCAACGTGCACTAAACGGCAGCACCCGTGGAATATGGGCCAAATGAGCTGATGTTTGCTTTGAACACTGATCTTTGGGAAATGAATCCCCATTTCGTCTCTGAACTTTTACTGTCTGCTTTGCTGTTTCTCAAAGCTCACGATGGACTGCTAGTGAAGTGACACGTAAGTCACCGTCATTCTGAGTTCTTGGGTCCAGGAGACCAACACAGAATTCACGTCTCAGCTGTTTGTATATAACCATTTTTTAAATGGCGTATTTTGGCACTATCGATAGAATAAAAACTGGAGAACTCCACTTGACTCTAAAGCCCAGGTCACAAATACTCATGAGGGGGAGCTCTGCGTCCTAGGAGGAATTCTGTCCACTAGAGCTCAGACAGCAAAGCAAGTACTTGCACGTCCCTGCCACTAACTGGCAGGACAGCCCCTAAAAGAAAGGGTCACTGTGGTCAGGTAAGTGTTGGCGGCTCTTGTACTTGAACATACACTAACCAGCATATAGGTAAAAAAGCAGGTCCTCGAACTGATCGCTGAAGGGTTTCTTTAAACACACACACACACACACACACACACACACACACACACACACGCACACACACGCACCACACACAAACCACGCACCACCCACATCATGTTAAAAAGGTTCCTTAGAGGGATGTACAAGGCAACGTCGTTCCTGACAAAACCAAGAAGCTGTGCAGAGAGCCTGGCGCTGCTGGACCAGCCTGGGGTGACGCTCCCTCCCTCCTTCCCGGGGCCTTGTGTCCCCTGAGCCTCCGGGGTTGAAACAGTCCTTGAAGCCCACAGATCTGAAGTTCTGGAGCAAATCCGGCTCTCCCACCTTCGGGAGAGACACCCATAGGAACGACCCCCCCCCCCCCCCCCCGAACCCTTTACTCAGCTGAGAACCGGGTTCTGCAGGAACTTCCAACATCACAGGAACCTCAGTTACCCCAAGGGCACCTCAGAAAGTCCCGAACCTCTCTCTCCAGCCCTGCTGCTCCCACAACTTCCCAAAGATTCCCAGCGGAATCCCCAGAGGCCGGCTTCCAGAGAGCTAGTAGGGGCCCCGGGTGCTTACCGCTGCGCTGGCCGCGCCCCGGGACAGCGCTCCTGCTGCTCTGGACCAGAGCGTCCTCTACCTGCTCGCTACGGCTGCACACGCGCGCCCCGCGCCAGAGCCCGGCCTCCCCGCCCCGCGGCCATCCCGGCTGTCCCCAGGCTCCGCTCCCCGACCTCCGCCGCAGCCCCGCCGCGCCCCGCCCCGCCCCCGTCCCCGAGCGTCCGTCCCAGTTCCCGCCGGGTGGCGCCAGGGAACCCAGGGCCCAGTGCGGGCCACATCCCACGCCCACCACTCCTGCCTTTCGCTCTCCTTTCACGCACCCTTCGCCCTGAGTTCCACATCCTCACACACAACCTGCCCCCGCACCCGCACCTTCCCACCTGCATCCCTCCACCCGCCTGCCTCTCCGCTTGCATCACCACCGTGCCCCTTTCCGGACCAGCCCCGGACTCCCACCCCCACCATCCTCTCACGTGGGAGCAGGGTACCGGGTCTTTGTGGCTGCTGTGCCCTGGCAGGGGCGGAGAGGGGCGGGGAACCCTGGTCTTGGTGGCTGCTGTTCCCGGACAGCAGAGGGGAGGCGCGGGGCACGAACGAGAGGGAGCAGCTGGAGCGGCCTGGCCCCTGGCCGATTGCTGGGGACACAGCCGGGGAACTTGAATTAGCGCCGCCAGCCTGGCTCCTCGCTAGCTCACCACTCGCAGGGGCCGCGGGCAGAGGGGCCCTTGTGCATTTAAGAACTTGTTCGGATGCGCTTGAGACCTGGTCCCGCTGAGGGGATAGGGAGGGCACCGCCGTCACTCATTCCCACTGGTCCTGGTGACCGGGCAGGAGCGAAGCCTGATCTGCGGGCCTCCGGGTAGAAGTTGAACGCCCCTCTTCTTTCCTGCTCAGAGATGACCTCCCCGCACTTGACAGGGAACATGCGACACAGGGCAAGACCAAGGAAGGACTCGCTGTGACGTGCCAGCTCGGCTGGCTCAGCTCAGGTCGCTCCCCAGGGTCCAGCCTGGACTGGCCCGCGGGGTCTGTCACAGGTGTTAGGGGACTGAACTTTGCTGGCCATTCTACACGCTGAAAATGGGCTCAGAGCTGCCTTTAGGAGTGGTGGGTTTATCGCACGAATGGGGCAAAACTGGCTGTTTTCAAATCCCCGTGGAGCAGCTTCCACCGGCGGCCTTCATCAGGGCTGACATCTGTTCTGATTAGCAGTCCGCCTGCCCTGGAGAGTTTACCTGTCCAGGTGTCCCAGGGAGAAAGAAAACCAAGCGTCCCCGGGCACATCTGGAACCTATTCCCTTTGTAGAACTCAGAGGTGTGTGTGTGTGTGTGTGTGTGTGTGCAGTAGGTGGTAGCTTTGTAGACTATGATATTTTTTTAATTGACAAATATTACTCAAGAAGGTCTTCAAATATTTTTTATTCTCTCTGAGAAGCATATGAGTAGTTTCTCTCTCTCTCTCTCTCTCTCTCTCTCTCTCTATATATATATATATACACACACACTTTTTTTTTTTTAAACTAACGAACTAAAGTTCATAATACTTGTAACTTACAACTATTATTGGTATTCCTGGGGTAATAAATGGAAATAGGATATTGCCATTATTTTAAACTTTTCATTGACATATAGTTAAAATGATTTGCATTACAAAGTAAATACAGAAGCATACAAAGTCAAAGTGGAAGTCCGATTTCTCCGCTCCGCTCAGAGGTATCAGCATGAACATCCCATCGTATTTTCTTCCAGTCTCTTCTATGCCATTGAAATAGTTTCTCCTGGAGACCTTCGGGACCAAAAAGCTAAATCATGAAAGATGGCAGTCTTCTGGCAGCAAAAGACCAGAAACTAGCAATTAGTTTGGCCTCTTCCCTTCCCTTTTCCTTCCTTCCTTCCTTCCTTCCTTCCTTCCTTCCTTCCTTCCTTCCTTCCTTCCTTCCTTCCTTCCTTCCTTCCTTCCTTCCTTCCTCTCTCTTTCTCTTTTTCTTCTTCTTTTTTTGCTAATCCTTGTGTGAGGATATTTTTCCATTGATTTTTTAGATAGAGAAAGAGGGAGGGAGGGAGGGAGAGGGACAGAGAGGGGGTGAGAGAGAGAGAAAAAGAGAGAGAAGGGAGAGAGAGAGAGAGAGAGAGAGAGAGAGAGAGAGAGAGAGAGAGAGATATCTAGGTGTGAGAGACACATCAATTGTTTGCCTCCCATATGTGACCCAACCAGGTGGGGATCGAATCTGAGGCTGAAGCTCTAACCACTGAGCAAAACCGGCCAGGGCTCTTCTGTTTCTTTGCGAAGTTGAATAATGCACTGAAGGTTATATGCCACTTGGCCATGTGACTGGGTGACCAGTTTCTCAGATTAAAGGTCCAGAGTAGAACCCAGATTGATAGGAAGCTACTCGCTGCTGCCACCTGCTGTCAGCAAGGGTCACTACAGGGCGCTGCCTCCTCCCCAGCCCCTGGGGCTCCCTCAGGATGGCAGGGCCCTGCCAGCACCAGCCTAGGCCTTCTTAGGACCCTCCTGCACCCGCACAGGCACACCCTCCCCTCTGTGAAACCTCACCACTCATTGCTCAGGAGTTTGTGTTTCCAATTTGTAGCTCTCTAGCCATTGCTGCTTTGTTAGGGTAACCATGAAAATGAAAAACAAACACACATAAACATACACTACTTCCTCTCATAAGTGGTGTAATGAGCAACATTAGTAAACTGCTGTAATCTCATGGTTACAGTGAGTGGCTTGTCACCAGGTTCTTAGGTAGGTTTTTCCCTGTGTTTCTATAAGTTCTCTGTCACCTGGGTTTTGGAGTCTCACCACCTAGGCCTGTAAACTCCACAGTCCGGTGATTTCTCGGTCATCACTCATCTGTGTGTGTGTGTGTGTGTGGGGGGGGGGGATCACTTATTTTAAAAAGCATTTAAAATCATCATCTCATTAACGCAGCAGCTCTTTAAAGATTTAGTGTTATTTGACTTTACTTATCTTATATTATTAGAGAGGGAATCGCCTAATATAATCCATTCAAATTTTTCAGGCTCCTTATTAATTGTGAGATCTACTTTTCCAAACCAACAATATAGGTTTAGGCCAATTTTGAATCACAATAACTTAAAAAAAGCATAAATTTTCCCATTTGCCTCGATTTTTCCAAAAAGGAGAGATTTCAATTCGAACAAATATTTGCACACCCGTGTTCATTTTCAGCACTGTTCACAATGGCCACATGTGGAAACAAAACCTATGTCCACCCACAGATGAACGGACAAACAAAATGTGGTCTGTGCATACAACAGAATATTAATCAGCCTTAAAAAGTTAGGGAATCGTGTCCTGGGTTACAACATAGATGAGCCTTGAGGACATTATACTCAGTGACATAAACCAGTCACAAATGGACCGACACTGTATGTTTCCACTTATATGAGGCACCTGGAGCAGTCACATTCATAGGGACAGATAGATGGTAGGTGCCAGGGCAGGGGAAGGAGGATGGAGAATTAGTGTTTAATGGATACAGAGTTTCTGTTTGGGAAAATGAAAAAGTTCTGGAGGTGGTGATTACACAATTATGTGAATATTTTTGAGAATGTACACTTTTTTTTTTTTTTTTAAATCCTCACTTGAGGATATTTTTTCATTGATTTTTAGATAGAGTGGAAGGGAGGGAGGGAGAGAGAGAGAGAAACATCAATGTGAGAGAGACACATTTATTGGCTGCCTCCTGCACAACTCTGACCAGGGCGGGGATCAAATCTGCAACCCAGGTATGTGCCGTTGATTGAATTGAACCTAAGACCCTTTGGTCTGCAGGCCAACGCTCTAACTGCTGAGCCAAACCAGCCAGGGTGAGAATATATCCTTAAAATTAGTTAACATGATACATTTTATGTTATGGATATTTTAACCATTATTTTTTAAAGTAAAAAAAATAGACCTCTTTTCTCAACATTGAAAGACACTGATCACAAACGTGTTAAAAAGTATTCTGGACTCAAGCACACATCAAACACTGTTAATGTCTCTATCCTATTTTATTAGAGCTATAATGCACCAACATAAATCCCTACGCCTATATATATAGACCATAAACATTAAACTAGTGGGGCAAGTCTGAGCACACAGCTGTCTTTCCCAGCCCCGTGAAAAAGAGTCATGTTCAAGTCTGGTCAAGTCATTTAGGGAAGAAGTACCAGAAAATCACTCTGCTGGCCACACAAGGCCTGTTTGGGTCCCTCTTGAAGACAGGAAGATGGTGGCAGCTGGCGGTCGCTGTGTACATGGACGCACTTCTCAGCTGAGTGACCCAAGGGTCAGGAGGAGGCTGGCTTGTTTTCAAGGAGCAGAGACCGGGAGGCAGTTTCCCATAGGAGCCAGTCCCCTGGGACTCCCTTTCTGGAGTGCTGTGGCTCCCTTCTTCCCTGCTGTTCCCTCTCCCTCCCTTCCTCCTCTTCCTGCCCTGGGCCAGCTCTCAGGTTTGCCAAGAAGATTCAGAATTTCCTGAGCTGACTTCATGTGGCACAAACTATTCACTGTGGAATGAATAGTAAAACAGTGGATACCTTCACGAGGATTAGGATCCTCAAGACAAAAGATTCCAAAGCATGTTTTGTCTTAAAAACAAAAGTAACATACATGAAATAGCAGCCCCGGCGGCTCAGCAACGCGTTGGTTCTGGCTCTGAGCCCTTTTAAAATTGATGGTGCCATCTAACCAGAGGGTGTATTTAAAGTCTGGGTTGGATAAAAGGATACACAGATCTTCTGTCATTAGCTACATCATTAACGATGCCACTGCCCAGACTGGTATAGCCCCTTATGGAAGACTGTAGAGCTTATTCTCAAGCAGCAATTTAAAAATATATCGTCAACAGCAATGCGAATATCTACTCTTTGAAAGCTTTTGTAACTTCTGCCCAGCACCTTTACCTCGGAGAATTCATGCAAGTCTTACACAACCCTTTGAGTTTGCTGGAATTATTTCAGGTTCACAGATAGAGAAGTTGAGTTCACAGCAATTAAGAGACTTCCCCACGGTTAAACAACTTATAATAAAAACCAAGGTTGCATATCTTTGTAAATA